GGAAGATTTAGAGAGCAGACTCACAAAGTGAGAGACTCAACACAGCAAGAGGGGAAGTCTCTGAGTATGCATTGATGGCAGATCGCCAACCCAGGAGAGATCCTGGGATTGGTGAGGAAAGGGAGAGATAGTCGCCATGTAAGGCTTCATGGGGCTGTGAGAATTTTATTTTCTTTTAACAACCCTGTAATCCCTTGCATCAGGGTGGTCAGGCGGCTGAACGGAGCTAGAGCATTTACTGGCCGGATGCTCTTCCTGACGCCTATGTGGAGTTCACAGCAGACAATTACTCACTGCACCCAGAGAGAAATATCTGCCGCTACCTAGGATTGACCCCACAGCCTCCTGATTGTGAGAGTTAGAGTTATGAGCTCCATCTGCAGGCCACTGCGCCAACAGGGTTGACATGAGAATAAAAGATGTTTATTTGTTTAGTGGTTTATGCTGCTTCCTTTCTAAGGCAGGTAGGAATCTTTATTCCTTAATCAATCCGATTTTTAATGCAATTTTAACTCTGTCTTGGCCTAACCCCTCCGCCAAACCTGTTGTAATCTTAAAAGTATAACTTACTTACTTACTTAAAGTATAACTTACTTTATACAGAGTTTGTCTGTATAAATCCTACTATAGAAGCTGATCTCAGCTTCTATAGTAGGATTTATACAGACAAACTCTGTACTAATTTACTGAAAAGGAAGACAAGCCTAAATTAAGAGAAAAAATGGATAGGGCCCCAACTACATTCTCACCTAACCTGACAAACATCTTATTTAAAAGGTAAATTACTGGAGAACAACTAGGCTTTTAAAGGGGAAAAATACATTAAATACAATAAAGGGAAAAAATACAATATCCTTGCAGTTGTTCTGAAAAAATGTAAAGATGCTATCTTGAAAAGCATCGGACCAATCCGTTTATATCCTAATCACTTGAATATTTTAACAAGTCTCTGTTGATGTACTATCTTGAGGGTCCTCAACACACTCGGCAGCTGCTAAACTTTGGTTGCCCTTGAAAAAGCTAAGCATGGTTGGCTAATCTTTGGATGGGGCACCACAAAGCTACAAGTAACGTTAGGAAGCTGGAAAACCCCGCAAGACCTCTGAAAGCGGCTTAGTCTGAAGTGGCAAAGTTCAACCCGCTCCTTGTGAACTCAGACCAAAGTGGAATCTACTGGGGGGGATCCTTTCTCCCCCCACACCCCTGAAGGCTCACCTTAAGGCATGGATGCAATACACCACACGAGGCATGTTCTTCTTGTCGTAAATGTCAGTGGTCTCGGGGTGAAAAATCTAGGAAAAGGGAGCAGGGTGTCAAAGCATGAAGGGGACCTTCTCCCAGACACCCAGCGAAGGTGGGAGGGGTCGAGGGCCTTACCACAGGCAGCCCAACACGGCTCATGGCGTCCCGCCAGCGGTTGATGTTGTCCGTGTGTCGAAAATGGAGCCCACAGGCCTTCAGAGAGGAAGAGGAGACAGAGAGAACACGGTCACCTCTCCTAGACCCCTCACGAGATGTTGGAGGCAGGGACCGCTCCAGAACTACGCAGCCCCCAGTTCTGGAGCCGGAAGGAAGACTTGGCAGCAGTGCCAAGCCTCTCACCAGAGGCCGGCACCCCTTTGCTGGAAAGGCCCAAGCTGCAGTTCCTCCTCCACAAAATATGAAGATGGGGCAGTCTTTCTTCTATGTAGATCTTTAAGACTTTAAGTCCTAGAATTCACAGCTGTGGCTGGGGAATTTGGGACTTGGGAGTCTACAGGTCTTAAAGTTGCCAAGACACCCCTCTTCTAGGTGGTGAGGTGGACGTGGGAAAAGCCAAGTGAATGGGCGGTAGAGATTGCGGCAAGGAAAAGGGGGTGGTGATGTCCCTATGAGATCATCTTGTCCTAAGAGCTCAGCAATGGGGTCCTGCCCAAAGGCCCTGGGTAGGGAGGACCATCTGTCCAGCCTTCAAATTGGGGGAGAAGCCACGGATTGTCCCAATGAGCAGAAAGGGGAGGGATTCCTCCTGGTGGAAAGAAGCAGCTGCCTTGGTGATCAAGACTGCCCAGGAATGGCAGACCCCTGACCAGAAGCTGCCCGTCTCCCTTTGGGGGTCTCACAAGCTTCTTATGAGCAAAACCCAAGTTCTGATGGCTGCAGAGGCCTCAGTTCAAGGCTCTTCACCAGGACCTCCAGCCTCAGGGCTTGCAGGGGGGCCTTTCCAAGCCTCTCCCCTCCATTCCGGGCCCCAAGAGCAGCTCTTGGACCCCCGAGGGGGTGGGGAACAGCAGAAGCCAGGATCCCCAAGGGCAAAGCCAGCAAGGCCAGAGGGGAGCCCCTGCCTGACCCCCAGGTGTGAAGCCGTTGTCCCAGACCAAGAGGGCTCCAGCCCCCTGAGCCTCTCACCTGGAATCGGGCCTGGTCGAGGTCGTAGATCTTCCCCAGGGGACAGGCATCAGGAGCAAAGAAATGCCCGAGCTTGGCCAGGGTGACGCCATTGCGCAAACTCTCCTCCAGCTCGGTCGGAGGGGGCAGCAGCTCCTTCAGGCAAGCCTCCATCCAGCTGAGGGGGAAAGTGGGGCAGGGTTATGCCTCTTGTCCCCAGGCGAGGGATTTTCTCAGCAGCCCCTTCGGAGACACCTAATCTGACCTGGGATTTGGCGCAGGGGTGCCAGCACAGAACCGTCCAAACACCCACCATCCTTTTAAAATGAGTGGCTGACCCTCCAAGACCTGCGGCCAAGGGGAGGAGGAGGAAGCATCTCTGCCCAGTTTCCTTCTGGACATTCACACATACGGCCACATCCCTCCAGTCTCGTCTCTGTCCGGCTGCATCCCTTCCCTGAAATAAGGCTCACCTCTTACGGGAAGAGCCCCCTCCCCCCGTTTTTTCAGAAGGGCATGCTGGGAGGCCCCTCGATGGTCACGAAGTTCAAGCCTCTTTAATTTAAAATTTAATTTAATTTTAATTTCCAAATTAAAGCACACACACACACACACACACACGGTTCATACCAGGGGTGAAATGCTCCGTTCGGACTGGATCGGGCAATCCGACAGCAATTGTGGCAGGTGGTTCGGAGAACCGGTAGCGATGGCGGCACAAGGCTCCGCTCACCCGCCCGGGTGTCATTACTTCCTGGTTTTAACCAGGAAGTCATGTGTTTTTTACCCTTGGCGCTTGCACTTCCGAACCAGTAAGGAAGGTACTGTAAGTAGATTTCAGCCCGGGGTGGGGGGGGTGGGGAGTCTTTCAAATACAAAGGGCTTCCCTGCGAACGAGGATCAGGGGTTCTCTCCCACCCCCAAAACTGTCTCACCGCTTGGCCTCCTCCAGGTGGCAGAGATACTGGTAGGCCACATTCTGCCGCCGCCTCTCGTCCATCTCATCAGCCGTGAGACGCTCATCTGGGGGAACCAGAAAGAATTTCACCCCCAGGTGAAGCTGCCCAGGCGCCTCATTGGTGAGAACAACAGAATATAAATTTAATGAATAATTGTCCTGCTGGTTCTCCTTGACCTCTTCAGGGACGGCATCTCAGAGGCACAGCGCCCAAGATGCCCCCCACCCCACCCCACCCGCCCCCGTCCTGGAATTTGTTTTCAGCCCTGGAGGGGCAGCCCGGCTGGTCTTCTGAACTGAGGGGTGGGTGTCTTAAGGCCCCGAGTTTGTGAATCTCAACCTTTGTCGCTTAATCAGGGAGCCACAGCTGAGGGAACCGCAGATAAAACATACCCAGTGAGTGCCTGGATAGTTCCATGCAGCATAATTGCATGGATACCAGAGCCACATCAGCCCAGCAACAATTAGGGCACCTGAGCTGCTTCTTAGGACATGCCTGTTGGTTCTCAGCCTGCCAACTCCTAAAGGAGTCTTTCCCAGCCTGGGCAACTTTTAGAGGCCTGGACTTCAACTCCCAGAATCCCCCAGCCAGCCTATAAACCGATGGGAGGTTTCTGGGAGTTGAAGTCCAGGCCTCTAAAAGTTGCCAAGATGGTTGCTCTGCCCCAGGGACAAGCGCCCCACGAGATGCAGTACCCCCAAAATAAAGGCAGCCCCTTCGCTCTCCTAGGCCAAAGCCCGGACATCCCCGCTCCGAAGAGCCGCCCCACCCCCAGGGCCCAGGGGGGGGGGCAGTGCCGGGCAGCAGCAGCCCCGGGAGGAGCCCCCCCGGCCAGCCCAGCCACGCAGCCCGCCGGCTCCCTCTGCCGCCTCGCTGCCCGCTTAGCGTCCTCCCTGCGCGGCCAGGTGGACGAGGCTCCGCCGGGTCTCCCCCTCCCCCCTCCGTCTCCGGGGAGAGCGGCGGGCCAGCCTGGCGGGCTCCGGAGCGGAGAGAAACCGGGCCCTGCGCTTCGCTTCCCCGGCCTGCCCTGGGCCCGCAGACTCACAGCCGGAGGGGGCCCGGCCGCCCTGCGCCGTCGCCATCGCCGCTCCCGCTCGCCCCGCCCGCCAGTTTGAATCTCCCGCGCCGCCGCCCCCCTCCCCCCTACGGAGCTGGGCGGCCGCGGAGGCTCCTGGGCGCCGTAGTTTTCCCCGCAGGGGGCGTGGCCGGCGGCAGCCCCAGCCCCGCCCCCCTTCGGCCCGCCTCCGGAGCCAGGCGGGGGGGGGGCTGGGCCTCCTGGCAGCCAGTGGGGGGGCCTCGAAGTGTCCGACGCAAAGCGCCCCCTGCAAGGGGCGGGGCTTCCCCCCCTGAGAATCGGGCCCCGCAGCGCGGAGTGATGGGCTTTGTGTTCCTGCCGGCGGTGCGTGGTGGGCCGGAGGGCTCTGAAGGCGGCCCTTCCACGGGGCTGCTGAGTTGGGGGCGTCCCGGCTGGGCGAGCGGCGCTTAAGCGGGCGAAGGGAGGCAAAGCTGCCCGGGAGCCCCCTCCCCAAAGCGGCCATCTGGGCGGTAGACTGCCCCGAAGCGGGGAGGCTCTACGGCCCGAGCGGGGGGGCGGGGCCGGGGCGGAGCCTCCAGGGCCGGGGGGGGAAGGGCCGCCGCCGCCGCCTGCGGGAGGAGGGGGCGGGGCCGGGGCGGGGCTTCCGCATGTCGGGGCCGCGGCGGGTGGCTCTGCTGGGACTCGGGCTGCTCCTGTCCAGGGCGGCGGCCGCGGGACACTGTCCGGCCCGGCTCTGCCCGCCTCCCCGCGCCATGCAGAGCCCCGCGCCCGGCCTGAAGTTCCTGGGGTAGGTGGCGGCCGGAGACGCTCCCGGGAAGGGAAGGGAAGGGGGGGAAATGGCGCCCCCCCCGCCTCCCTCCCTCCCTCCCTCCCTCCCTTCGGGCTCTGGGACCCGCTCGGCCCTCTTCGCGCCCTGCAGGCGCCCCCCCGCCCCCCGCCCGCCCAAGCGCTGAAGGGAGGAAAGCGCTCCTCGGAGGCTCCGCCCTGCCTGCCCCGTGAGCCTACGGGGACTTTGCTCGAGCCGGAGGTCGCAGGGCTGAAGGGGGAAGGGAGGAGGGAAAGGCCGGCAGCCCCGGATTTTGAGAAATGGCCGCTGCGCTCCCTCCCCCAGCCTTTTCGCCCTGCCTTCCTTTTAAGACGCTGAGGCGGCCCTTTGGAGCAGGACCATTTAATGCCGGCTTTCGCCCGCCCAAGAGGGAGGCGGCAGGGCAGGGCACCGGATGGGCAAGCAGTCCAGCCAGGAGGGCGGAAAAGGGGTTTCGGTGCCCAGTCAGGGGTTTGGGGCCTGGGGCAGCCCCTCTGGGCAGTGGGCAGCAGGGAGTGCTCAAGGCGGCTCTTCCTGGGGGGGGTGGGGGATGTGGATGCAACGGTAGCCGTTCCCCCCTGTCCCCTGCAGGCAGAGAGAAGCCCAGGCCATCGACCAGGAGCTCTTTGAGGAGTACAGATTCAGCGTGGACCAGCTGATGGAGCTGGCGGGTCTCAGCTGCGCCACGGCCATTGCCAAGGTAGGGGGAGGGGGCTGCCTCGGGCAGTAGGCATTTCAAGCCAAGGGGAAGTTAGAAACCTTCCGATGTTGTCTTGAGCAGCTCCGTTTATGGGTAGACTCATGAGGACTAGAATCCTTGCTCTTCATTAGATTAGGACTCTTGACACTCTTTCGCACTGTCCCCTTTGTGTTTGTGAGTCTCCCAGGAAATTTGCTCAGGGCAACCTTTTCTCCCTCAAGGCATACCCAGCCAGCACCTTCACCCTCAGCCAGCCAGCAGTGCTGATCGTCTGTGGCCCTGGGAACAATGGCGGAGATGGACTAGTTTGTGCCCGTCATCTGAAAATGTTTGTGAGTGATTTGTACCTATTCCCTCCTGGCAGGGAACACTCGCAGTGCCTCTCACCTCCCCCCCGGGGGGGGCAGCTGAGCCTCAGACTTGCCGCCTCTGTCCACGGAGCTTCTCCGGAGAGCCTTTGCGGAATGCTTAGACTGCTGGATTTCTGCCCGTGGAGGAGGTGGTCTCAAAAGGCACCAAAGAACAAAACAGACCCCAGACAAACCAGGAATTCCTTTCCGCGGCAACAGATTAACCCACTTGTCTTTGCAGGGCTATGAGCCGACCCTCTACTATCCCAAACGCCCCAACAAGCCACTTTTTGAAGGTTTGAGCACCCAGTGTAAGAAAATGGAGATCCCGTTCCTCCCAGAGTTTCCCTCTGAAGTAAGTCGAAAAGAAAGAAAATTGAGATCTACCCATCTTCACAGTGTCAAGGTTGAGAAACACTGTTGTACAAGGGTGTGTTAGGGTTAATAGCAACAGCGCTTAAACTTACATTTTAAAGCTCCACGGGGCTTTACGGCCCTCTGGGTCCTCAAGACCTCAGAAGGATGGAAGGCTGAGTCAACCTTGAACCAGTGAGAATCGTGCTGCTGGCGGTTGGCAGAATTAGCCTGCAATACTGCATTCTAACCACTGCGCCACCACAGCTCCAGGTGAAGGCTGGTTGGGGAGTTGAAATCCACCCATCTTCAAGCGCCAAGGTTGAGAAACCCCCCCCCAAAGAGAGCCCCCGGTTGGGGACGGCTGGACTCAAGCACCTCTTGTAGTTCTCCACCCGCCCCCTTCACACAAGTCTGATTTCCACCGCAGGCTGCCCTCATCGACGAGGTCTACGGCCTGGTGGTGGATGCCATCTTTGGGTTCAGCTTCCAAGGCGCTGTGCGGGAACCTTTTGGTACCATCCTGAGCACCTTGAAGAAGGTGACCATCCCTGTGGTCAGCATCGATATTCCTTCCGGTACGTTTGGCCCAGTTGGGCTGAGAGGCCTGGGCTGCTGCTGCATTGTTGGGGGGTCGTATCTCATCCTGCTGCCCTTCTGTGCCCCACCCAAATTTCCCTCCCAGAAATAATTCTGCTGGAGACCAGTTTTGGAGAATTTAAGATCATGGATTAGAATTTGGACCAGTGCTGAGAAATTTAGTTTTCAACAGATACTAGGTTTATAATTAAAAAAAGATAAAATACATTTTTTCTTCCATTCAATTGTGTCCGATTCTGAGACGGCCTGCAGAAGTCCCTGTAATTTTCTTGGCAAGGTTTTTCAGAGAGGGCTTTGCCATTGCCTCCTTCCTAGGGCTGAGAGGAAATGGCTGGCCCAAGGCAGAATTAGAACTTGGTCTTGGTTTCTAGCCTTGTGCCTTCACAACAGTGAACTGCCCATCAGAGTACAATTAGCCTGAATTTTTCTCATAGCTGCTGTTTATCTCTCCACCCCCCAGCCCCATACTATGAACGGTTAACTATTCAGTGGGCATTGGTAAAACCAGCGGACTTTAAAGCAGGAACCCCCCCCCAAGTGATCAATATCAGCCCCCACTCCCCGTGGGCTATTCACCATTATTATTCGTAGTACAGTTAGTTAAAGTTGTATTTATTATTCCCATGTAATAAATCTTTGGGGATTGATGAACAATGTGAAGCTTTGTGAAAAGTGGATGAGCTGAAGAGGTTGGAGAAGCCCTGCTTTAGATGAATTTGAAAGCACAAAACGGAATCCTGTACGGACGTCCAGCATCCTTTCTCCCCAGAGGCTCCAGGGCTGCGCAGGGGGGTCCACAAGCCTCCCCCCAAAACAAACTGAGGAAACAGAGGGTAGTTTAATTCTTCTGACTCTGTATTGGTGGCCACTCAGTGTCTGAATATTTCATTTTCCCTTTCTGTTCTCTTCTGGCTTTGCCTCTCCCTGAAATTTGGAGAAAATAGGACTGATGTTCCAAGGGGGGGGAGGAGGTCAAGGGGCCCTGCAGTTTAACCAAGCCAAAGGGCCACAGCAGTGCTGCCTTGGGATACTCGGGGCCCTTGGCCAGCTACCTCACGGCCTCCTTTCCTCTCATTGCCAGGCTGGGACGTGGAGAAGGGGAATCCTGACGGGCTGCAGCCGGACATGCTGATCTCACTCACAGCCCCTAAGAAGGCGGCCCGCCACTTCCAGGGGCGCTACCATTTCCTGGGGGGCAGGTTTGTGCCCGAGGCCCTGCAGAAGAAGTATGCACTCAACCTGCCACCCTACCCAGAGACAGACTCTGTTCTGCGCCTCACCTAGAGCTGGCCCAGACCCATCTGCTGAGGGGGGAGGGGGGCCTGGGGCTGTAGGGGGCAGTTCTGCAGATCCACCCCTTCCCCCCCACCATGAGCACAGAGGGGGTCTTGCTCCCAGAGCCAGCGAGAGGCTGGCTTGATTGTCTTTCAGATCCATGCAAGGGAGCAGCTCTTTGTTAGTCTCTCGAGGAGGCTTAGTTGACGCTTTATATAAATTTTGTCTTCCTTGAATAAAAATATGCTGGGGAAAAACTTGTTCCGTCTTTTTTCAAAATCAACTGTCTTTGCTAAGGTGACGGAAAGAAGACACTCCAAGGGTGTGAAGTGTGGGGGGGGGAGTGTTTTGGGAGGGGTTGTTGCCCGGGTTCTAGGATAGGAAATTCCACTTCAAGAAATGGGGGACCAACCCTTGGGGTGAGGAGCCTTCTCTCTGGCTACCTTCATCCTGGGGGGCAAACACAGCCAGATAGGCCTGAACAGAGTTTTTGGGAGGAAGGAAACGCGATCTTGAGGCTTAGCCAAAAGCAGGAACAATCAGAAAAGAGCATCGAATTCTCATCTTTTTGAAAAGAGGACCCAGAATAGGTTCTGTTGAGTGGGAAAGCAACAGAACCTTTTACGTCCTGCTGCTTCAAAGCCCAGAAAAAAAGAGGCTGAGGTCAGCAAGCAGTCATCCGAGACCCCAGGTAGTCTTTGGGGGGTGGGGGCACAGGCAGCTGAGCCATTGTGCACTTTAGGCAGCAGTGAAATCCACTTACCTTCGCTACCGGTTCAGGAACGGGAGCGCACAGGAGCGTGTGCTATGCATGTGCCTCTTCTGCACATGCACAGATGGTAAAAAAAGGGACGTAATGATGTCCCAGCGGATGGGCAGAGCCTCCTGCCACTGGCGTTACCGGTTCAGTGAACCGGATAGAACCGGGGGAGGGGAGGGATTTCACCGCTGACTAGGCCTGGATTGAAAGGTTCAGATAAAAGTGGCTGCAAGATTGGGCTGCTGAAGCCTTTCAAGATGTGACGATTTCAAGCCGCTTGAACCAAAGAGGAGAAGGAGACCCCAGAGTACATTGCCTCCCTCCATTCTACATCTTTGTGCCTCCAGAAACGGCCTCCAAGGACTTTGGATGGGAGGAGCTGCTACATCAGAGAGAAAAAGGAAGCAGACTGACCCCTTCAGGCACATCAAGGGGAACATTGCCCCCAATGCGGGCAGACCCTTCAAAGCACCCCTTTGTGGTGGGAAACGGCAGGCCCTTCAGCCCCACTGTGGTAGAAGCAGGTCCCAGCACCCATCTTGGCGAGGGCAGTGAGGTTCCCCACCGCCAGACACCCCAGCTGATGCCTGTTACTGAGAGACGAGAGCCGTGAAAGGGACAGAAGACCACCTGGTTATTTTTACTAGCATTTAACAACATTGTCCCATCTTTCTCTCTTCCACGAGACCCCCTCTGGAGAGGAGGACCACCGCTGGCGTTTCCTTGTGGTTTAGCTTTGGGTGGGAAGGGGGAAAAATCTAAGCAAAGGGCAAACTAAGAGAACACAACAGTTTGGGTTAGTTATACTTCTATGAACTAAGAGGAGGAGGAGCCTAATTTTGAGAACAAAGTGGGGGCAGGAATAAGGGGAGGGGGAGAAACCGTTTCAAAACAGTCATGGGGCCTGGAATCCATGCACAATGCAGCGTCTCAAGCAAGGATGTCCAACCTTGAGACCTGTGGACTTCAACTCCCAGAAATCCCCCCTGCTAGTATAGCTGGCTGAGGAATTCTAGGAGTTGAAGTCCGCAGGTCTTAAAGTGGCCAAGGTTGGTCACCCCTGGTCTCAAGCATTTGGTGCAAGACTGGGCTTGCCGCACTGAACTGAAAGAGTTTTTGTTCCAGTCTTTTAGGGATGGGAGGATACTAGTCTTGGGTCTGAACATGGCCGGCCCCTGGAAAGGTCCTTGCGTGCCAAGAGCAGATCCGAAGCGCCCTGCATGGTGTTAGGAAGCCTGGAAGCCCAACAGTCTTTCGATGGCAGCATTGATGTCTCCTCCGGTGGCAATGAGGGCCTGGAGGTTGGCCTCGCGGTTGATGAAGCCCATGGCGCTCAGCTGCTCCAGCTGTTGCTGGAACCGGACTTCTGGGCTCTGCGCCTGCTGTGAAAAGAAAACCCTCGTGAGCTGCTTAGCAACAGGTGTGGCTGTCAGTCTGCCATCGTTCTCAACCGTTACCCAAGTGGCATCACCTTCCAGCTGTCCAACCTCTGACCTATACCCTACCAAAACTCTGGGGCCGGTAGCCTTTAAGTGGGCAGAGCCAGGGCATCGCAGGGCAACCATCTGGGAACACAAAGTCTTTGAAATGGGCTAATTTACAAAATGGGTGCAAAATCCAGAGCCCACAACTCTTGTGGAACTGAATTTTGGCAACGCTTATAAAACATTTTATGGCATATAAATTATAATAATACTATGGCATAATACAAAATATCATAAAATATTTCCAGAGGGATCAACCGCTGATGTTTGACTCTGCTACACATGGGCTACTTGCAAGGCAGGTCCATCTCTGAATCTCGCCCTGGATTTTTGGGAACTTTTCTGTTCCCAAATGAAGCTTGGCCATTAATGAAGCTGATAAGGAAATATCTCTGAAACTATGGCCCAAGAAGGCTTGTCTTGTCTAGTTATTTACGATATTTACAGACCACCAAGTCACTAAAGACGCTGGCAGTTTACAGATAAGAATGCAGGTTTAAAGCCCAGATAGTTCTGAAAAACATAAACATTGAACCACACTATAACCAAGCCAAGATGGGGTCGAACCATCTCTGGAAGAGATTTGGGAGCTATCCAAAGAGCCAGTGAAGTGCTGACAAGCAGGAGGCCCCACCTGACCCTCATTCAAAGCTTCAAATGGAAGGAAAGGAACTTCCCGGCCCCTGTGAAGGGGGGGGGCTGGGAGTGCGAACCCCCAGAGGAGGGAGAGCTCAGCAGTCAGAAGAGGACAAATGCATGTGGATGCGACCTCCATCACCGCCTACCTGAGAGTTGGCACTGGCCAGGAGCTGCACCATGTGCTGCATGAGCTGCTGGGAGGGGTTGCTGTCCCCAGCTGGGGAGGTGCTGGCAGGGGCCAAGCTGCTGGATAGGGGGGGCTCCAGGACTGTAGTTCCTCCGGCGGAAGGTGCGGGGGGCTGAGGGGTCCCCAGAGATCCCAGACTGCAAGGCAAGGACGCGTTTATTTAGTAAAGAAGCAAGGCTTGTCTAGCAGCCACCAGAAAGACAACACTTGGACACTGAACCCTGCAACCAGGCCCACCTCTGCCTCTTCATACCTGGGCATGAGGCCTGGGGCCTCTGTCTGCAGCATCTGGAGCCCCTGCTGGATCTGCAGCAAAGCTTGCATGGCACGAGGGTTCGTCAGGACCGAGAGCGAGTCGGGGTTCTGCATCTGGGGGCGCAACAAAGCCATAAATTAACCATCAGTGTTTCCAAAGCTGCCAAGGGGCAGAGGCTAGCTCTCGGATCCAGAGCTACAACGGGGGATGGGGGGGGAGAGGAGCTGGGCTGAAAGAGAGGACTACGATTCTGGCCTTTATTTCAGACTCCAATCTGCAGCCCCTGCCAGCTTTCACCCCAGGCGCACCTGCTGTAGGAAGGCGGGCAGCTGAAGGCGCAGCTGTTCCTGAAGGGAAGGGTTGCCAGCAAAGACCGGAGCGTTGACCATCATCTGCAAGGAAATAGGGCAGCCAGGCTTAGTGGGCGGAGTCCAAGCCCTTCCCTGACTTGGCAATGGTGGTGAATATCTGTAGCTGTGGCGTAGGATGAAGGTGAAGGGTTCATCCTCCGAGCTTGTGGATTGGTTTCCGAACGTTTGGTTGGTTGTAGGTCAATGTGTCCTTAATCTCTACTCACCCCAACACCAAACAGCACCAGTTTGATTGGAGCAACACCAAAATCATTGGCCACTCTACCACCCACCACCCTCGTGAGTTCATCGAAGCCTGGCCCTCCACAAGCAATCCCATCAACAGACACACTGACCTACAACCAGCCTACAAACCCTTCAGAATCCAAATCAACCACACAGCCAACCCTCAACCAACCCACGCAAGCCCCCTGCACCAGTTCACCTCCCAAAGGCCCCATCACAAGACCCTCACTCATGACCCCCACCTGTCTCATCACAAGACCCTCACTTGACACACCCACACCGGAAGCCCTTATAAACAGAAGAACACTGACACGGTCATCCCACCACCTCCGCTGAAGACGTTATCTAGTCTGGTAACGAAACGTTGGGAAACCAACCCCTCAGCTTCCCTAGCTACCCTCCCAAGAACACAGCACCACTGGAGACCACGGCATGTGTGGCAACTTCACATTCCACAGCTAATAATCTAGTCTAATAATCTATTATGACAGGGAGTCCTCGTTTAGCAACCACAAGTGGGACCAGACACTTGGTCTTTAAGTGAAGCTGAATGAAAGTGCAACTCTGACTTCCGGCTTCCTTTGCCTTATAGGCCTTAGAAGGTCGTAAATGTGAGGATTGGCCACAAAATTACTTTTTCATCACGACTGTAACTGTGAACAGTCACTAAACGGGGACTACCTTAAGGAAACCACAGTGCGAAGCTGCACTGCAAATATAATGCAAGGGAGGGACAACTGTGGTGCAGAATCAGAGCATCTCTCTAACTCTGAACGGTGGTCTAGCAAAGGAGACCTCTGGGTCTCTTACCCCACCCCCAGCCAGGTGCGAAAAGAGCTACACTCACCTGAGCGGCAACCTCTGGGTTCTGGGCAAGTGTCTGCAACATCGTGCGCATGTAAGGAGCCGAAATCACGCTCTGCATCAGCTGAGGATTCTCGGAGACCTGCTGGAGAAGCCCCTGCATCTCGGGGCTGCTGAACATTCCTGCAGGGTTGGGAGAGGAGGGGGCGAAAGGGACTTTCATCTATAGGGAACCATGCCGTAGCAAGAATGCCCCCCCCCCAAAGCCCCTCTTACTTAAAAAAAGGGAAGAATACAAGCGACTTGAGGGGAAAGAGATGGAAGTGGACGTTTACGTCATGCCCATCTGAGAAATACACAGGAGACGCAGAAGGAAATGCCACCGGTGTTACTGTCTTTTACGGGATGGTTATCAGCCCCCCTCGAATAAAGGGCAGAGTCAGAACCCCACAATCCCAGGCAGAGAAAGAATACTGAAAGTGGGGCAGGATTGAGGCATCCTTAGGGGCTGGGTGCTGTGGCTGAGCGTTT